CACACACACACACACACACACACATATATATATATATATATAGACACACATACACTGCAGAGTGGGACCCGTGGGATGTACGAACGGTCATACGTTGGGATAAGATCACAAGTGGGTTGACGAGATCAGAAGTCTCTGAACTATCTATTTTGTTCGAAGAGGTTCTCATGTTTGAAATCTTTTTAGTACCGCGAGTGCCTTCTTCGTCAAGATAGCGTTTGAGAGAGGACTATTGGCTATCTTTTGAAGTATTTTTATTTGAAAATAAATAAAATAATATTTTTTTAATTTTTAAAATAGTAATAACATTGATTTTTTTAAATTATTATTTTTTATTTTAATTAAGTTTTTAGTATTTTTAAATCTTTTTAATAATAAAAATAAATTTTAAAAAATAATAAAAATATTTTTTAATATATTTTTAAATAAAATTAATTTTAGAAAACCAATACAAGACAATTACAATATCAAACATTATCTCGGAATGATATCTAGCCACTGATTTTGAAATATTCTTTAAAATATATTTTTTATGTTTTATATGGTATTTGTAAGTGTGATTGTTGTTACTTTTTAAACTGCTTTTCATTCAGAAAAATGTATCAATAATATTTTTTTATTTTTTAAAAATTATTTCTAAAATTAATACATTAAAATGATTTGAAAATATCAAAAATATATTAATTTAAAATAAAAAAATTCAAATTTTTTTAGAATTATTTTTCAAACACAGTGCCAAGCACTCTCTTGAAATCATAAGAAAATAACCCACAGGGACACATGTCTGACTATCTGCAAACTTTAACATTTTGAGCCACAGGGACATCTAACAAAAGGAGATAACCCAATGTAAGCCTTGTACATAGTAATCAGCACATGAGTGTATTTCGTTCAATGGCTGACTTTAAGATTTTATCAAGCTTTTCAGCCTTAACAATGGGATTTGCCTTGGCAATGGCATCTTGACCAGCAGATCGATAGTCACTGATATTTGTCTGGGTAGTGATGAATTGCGCGCAGAAAAGATTCCCGCAATGACAAGTACTGAATCTAGTTAAACAAATGCATTTCTTGCGAGTGTTGCACCTATTAGGACTCTCTCTCACACACTTGCGTGATCGGCACTGGAAGCAGCTGCAGACAAGGCCGGTGTTGGGCTAATCAATGGCACTGCTGAAGTAGCTGGTGGATCTACAGCAACAGCGATGACAGCATTGCTCGTGGTGTCAACAGAGATAAAATGTTCATAACACACGCAGCATGTTGATTAAGCCATTTTAGCATGTTCTTGCTTTAAAATGAAGTCATCATGGCACTTGGAACATAAGTTCATTGTTGCTGCTGTTCCAAAGAGCCCACAGCCATTAGCGCAAAGCTTGGGAGCCTTCGAAGGACCTTGGGGTTCAGGTCTTGTTCTGCTCCATTTTCCTGCATCAGAATCGCCTTTACTTTCAATAACATAAAAGAAAAATGAGCAGACATCCAAAGGCAATTATCCTCCCCATCACAAATCCACAAACACGTTTGAGACCACCGAAATATGCACATGAGCCTCTGACCCTCCCTCCCTCCAAACATACACAGAGACTCTCATCGAGAGATGACCAATGACAGCCTAAAATTATGATCAAAGAAGCAGTAACAAAACTAGCACAATTTTTTGTTTGAAAAGGAAATAGCCATATGTAACAAGAAGGAATGGGAGAGTTTCGAGCATGCTTTCAATCTAAAAATAACATCACAACAACTAATTATGTGGGGACTTCTAAGGCTTTAACTATTCGATAATTGCTAAATAAATTCTTTTTCAGTAGTCGCAATTGAAGTACAGTAGAGTGCGCATATACATACTTTCCAGATACACAAGTTTCTTCAATATGGATAAATTTAAAGAGTCGAGGATGGAAGGAAACATGGAGTGAGCTAATTCAGAATTTCATTTGTTGAGTAAGCTGCCAAGTGCCTTCATCATTGGTTTTTGGCATAAGAGTGAACAAGAACAATACATGGAGTGTGGTTGTTTCATGCTTAACCAAAGCATCATGAATCATGTTTACATGTTTAAATATCACGAGCTAAATAAGGCATGCCTTGCTTTAGGTTCTACTGTAGAATACATGATGCTGATTTAGCCTGCGTCACAGGTTTTTCAGGCAAGCCCCATAAGAAACACCATCCCAGAGTCCTAGTGGGACATTAAGCTCACCCGAGAACAAATTTAAATTGCATCCTACCGGGCATGGAAATAACATGTGACACGCTACTACACTAGATCCAGGATGATCAGCTCGGCCTACTGGAAGCCTTGTTGACCCACATCTCCACACATCTCGTCTCTAAACTGGACCCAGGGGTCCATATGGCCCAACTTGGCAACACCCCGAAGTTTAAAGCCAACTTGATTCCTTGAAGGCTAAAGGTAAATTTAAAATTGTGGTCGTGGAGGCGATATAAAGCATATTTTATTTAGAAATATATTAAAATAAAAATTGTTTTTAATTTTAATATATTAAAATAATTTAAAAAAATAATTTTAAATAAAAAAATTTAATATTTAAAGAAATATAATTTGCATCGCGTTTCCAAATACATTTTTAAAAGACTATTTATTATTACAACAATCATAGTTTGCTTCATGAAACTTGTTAATAAGGTCTTGTTTATTTTTGTGTTTAAAAAATATTTTTTAAAAAAATTAATTTTTTTATTTTTTACTTCAAATTAATACTTTTTATGTGCTAATGTTAATAATAATTTTTTTAAAATAAAAAATATTATTTTAATATATTTTTAAATAAAAATTATTTTAAAAAATAATCACAACCACTTCTAACACCTAAATAAGATTTGACCTCAGTTTTGGGAAAAAAATTTTATTTGCTTTTATTAAATCATTTATCCCCCCCTTTTTTTTTACCTGTTGAAAAAACACATTCACTAAAATAACCTTCAAAATTTTTCTTAGTGCAAAAGATAACTGTAAGAACAAAAGAGCTACTAATAAATTGTTTCTAATAGTCTGAAGAGTTTGCATTTGCATAGATATACATCAAGAGTTCTTGACACAAGCAATAAAAGACCAATTTTTTTTGGTGAGTTTGAATGAATTTCTTGATGAGATGTAGATTACAAAGTTTAGATTATAAGCATGTGACACCATTTTCTTTTTAGCTTCAAATTCATTTTTTAGCTTAAATTTTTTTTTAGCATGAGGTTCTTGATTTGTGAACAAGAAAGATATATATTTGATATTTGATAATCATGGTTTTTTTTTTAAAAAAACAAAACCTATCATTTCATACTAGTATTAATTTATTAAATAATAAAGTAAAATAAAATAAATGATAAATTTAATTGGTTATTTTATTTTGTAGTTTAATAATAAGCAACAAGTATATTATAGTGAAATACATAATTCTTTGTATATGAGTTATATTTGTGATGAGATTGTAGCAAACGTAATGAGAGAATAAAGCCAGCATTGTAATTCTCATGGCTATTTTTATAATGCATTAATAATTAAATGCATATAAATGTAATTGCAAAATAAGAAATTAATTATATGTTTTTTTTATCATTTTATTATTAACATTAATTTCAGCCATAGTTTTAACTAAACA